CAATGGATGATTTAGAAGAAAAACTACCAAGAATAAGTTTAAGAAGATTCCACGATATCCATAGAGCCACGTGCGCATCTAATTGTACTCACCAGAAGACTTTATGGTCCACATGGAGCTCCCATCATGGCAGAGACCCCTCTGAGTGGATAGCGTGTGGAAAAATGATCGAAACTAAGGAATTGGTGCAAACAGAAAAAATGTCCATGTTGGAAAAATTGAAGAATAAATAGATGATTTAGGAACCTTACATGAGGTAGTGAAACAAAGCTTTGGAATAGAAGATTTTGGGGGAAGATAACTTACGAACGTCGGGGAATAAAAAGGCGCTAAAAATTATGCAAAATACAGGAAAAAGGAATATAGACAGATGGGAGATCGCTTTGTTGTGGAAAGATGAAAATAAGAAGCTACCAGAAAGCAGAGGAATTGCTAGGAAGAGGCTAATGTATCTGAAAAGGAGGATGGATAAAAACGAAGATATCTTTTAATGAAATGAAGATAGAAAGGAATAAGAAATTTTATGGAACAGTGGACACAGTTTAGGGAACAATATCCAGAAGCTGTACATAGTAGTATATTAAACAAATGCTTCGGAGATGATTACCTAGTTTCAGAAGAAGCCATCACAAGGTATATTCGAGTATTCTCTATCCTTTTATCTTTGTGGTTGCAATCCAAATTGTAAAGAGGAAAATACTCGAAGAACAGAGGTCAAAAAATACACAACTGTGAAGCTCTGGATGGTCAAGTTGAAGAAAAAACTAATCACGTTGAAATCGAACGGATTTTACATATTTTTGGGGAAGGAGAAAGAGACTAATTCATATTCAAGCTCAAATTTCACAAGGTAAAAAAATACATCCTGGATGGAACGGGTTTGCCGACTAAAACGGTAGCATTAGCGGTAATAATGAGCGTTTTCGGCCCTTTAGGATTTTCAGCTAGATTCGCCATTAAAGGAAAGCTAATCTTACAGTTAACATGGAAGTCGGGAATGGTCTGGGATGGTGATTTGACATTCCCAGTTAACGGAAAATAGAAAGTGTAGAAAAGACAACAGATAGGGGGTTGTCGAGTAATCAACCCCAATGGCTATAAACTATATACAGGCTGCAGCCCATCTTCCTATCCAATCCTTAGCTCTGAAGAACCAATATTTTAAATCTGAACTCAATAAAAACCTTGTACCATGATCCTATTCAGCATCGATGGCATAAACTGTGCAATCGATCTACAAAGCAGCGTGAATAGCTACACTTAACACCGGACATAAAATAAACAGTCATACAGTACCGCCATTATATATCCAAAACTTAATAGGTCAGAAAGATCAGATCAGAAGACTGTGGCAATCTCATCTGAAATTACCTCTTACGCAGCCAACGCGATGAGTAAAATGGGAAATTAAAATAGAATCTCTTCCTATAGCCTAAACCAGTGATACCTATCCTAAAAGTAAACACTTCACTATACTCTAGCGACAATGAAAAATACGAAGCACTAGGCAACCACCTAGAAGGGGTATTAACTGTTAAAATCAGCAATGGACGCCGACTTGACCGACTCTATTGATCAAAGTGTAACCACACCAACCCTTAATCACAACTAACACCTAAACTACAGCTCCAAGAGAAATAGCAACAATAATCCAACACCTACCTAACAAAAAAAGCTCCTGGCCCAGATGTGATAACAAACGCTATTCTTAAAAACCTCCCACCCAAAAGCTTGTCATACCTCAACTCGCTATTCAATGCCTGCCTAATTATTGCATATTTTCCTAAGAAATGGAAACATGCGCACGTTCCGCATTTCCTTAAGTCCGGAAGATGTAAAAACAACCCAACATCGTATCGCCCTATAAGCCTCCTCTGTACTCTATCGAAACTACTTGAACAAATTATCTACAGGAACCCTCCATACTTCCACCATTCCAGTTTGGCTTTAGCCCCAAATATTCATCAGTTTGAAGACAAACAATATACTGTTCTTTGGTGTTGCTCAGGCTTTTGACCGAATCTGGCACAACGGCTTCCTCCACAAAATGATTCAGCTGAAAATTCCAGGGTACATTATCAGTAACTTTGAATTACCTTACGGGAAGAACGTTAGGAAGCAAAGCAAATTGTAATTACAGGTAGGTACTCCAAAACAAAGTCCTCAGGCTGGCAAAAAATGCACCATGGTTTATACTTATTGATAATGGCTCACATCCAGTTCTTCAACAATCTATGGGACTTGCCCAACCCCCTATCAGTACATGCATGGACAGCGATCTATTGGCCTTCGTCTAAAACCAAGGCTACCCCAAGACATGTTTCTAAGTGACAGTGATTAATACATCGAACAATTGAACCAACCGGTTAGTGCCTTAACTCTGCGTTGTTATTGCGCTACTTAATTATGTGTAATGAAAACTTATTCTTAAACGTACTGTATATGGCGAGGTATATGGCCTTAGTGTGCCGATCCGGTGATTTTAATAATAAAAGAGGACAACGCATTGTCGCATGGGAATTGACAATTAATTATTAATTAATTAATAACGTCAGACAGAAATATGTTTTTATGGCACTCAGAAATTTGGTGAAGAAGGTATGGTGTGACTGTATAGAATGCAAGATAAGTAAAGCATTCACCTCCACACTAAAGAAGGGGCAGCTACCCAAATGTAGATTTGAAATAGGAGTACCATTTGCAGAAACAGGAATGCGTTGGGAATTTAGTCCGCCAACTTCGCCTTCGATGGGAGAGTCTAATTCGTTCGGGTAAAAACGGTTTAATTAAAATTCTAAAGAAAAAATTTCTGAGAGAGGACGTCTTGGGTGTACAGCTCTTTCGAAATCGAAAATGTTACCTTTAACGTACGTACTAGTCATAGACCCCGAAACCGAAGAAGTGTTGGTAGTTTGGCCCACGGAACGTCATTAGCGATGAAGATTTAATATCGGGAAGACAATGAAAAAGAGGAAAGGAATTAGTAAATGAATTTTGGAGTAGACTCTAAGGATAAAGTGGTCTGGAGGTTTAGTTTTCATTGTGGATTCGGGAATTTTAAAGAATAAGTGGTTGAAAGGAAGGGTGGGAAAAACTTTATACCCAAGCAAGGCTGGGATTGTGCGGGTAGTTGACGTGAAGACACAATTTGCAACATACCGGAAACCAGTATTCAGTAGTCAAAGGAGCAAATAACAATAAAACATATAACCGACAAATCAACAGTTCTTCTTTATCGAAGGTTTTCATTTCCTCTTTGGGCATAACGCAGGTCTTGAACGAATGCACCAACCACGGAGGTATTGCGCCCAAATTTACTTTGAGGCTGCAACCATAGAATCAGTTTGAAATCACAGAAAAGCTAAGTCGACATGTACCTGGCCGCCCCAACGATTATATTATTTATTTCACATTTTAAAAGTCTGCTTTACTTAAGCCCAACTTTGTACATTTAGTCCAGGGAATAGAGACTTTGAACTTGCAAATTGAGAAGTAGTTCCAATTTCTTTTGCATATTGTAGACAGTCATCTGGTGGTTAAGACTAAGTTTTCGACCTCCCATCCACTGTGCTTCCCCCGTACCACAAATTGTAGGCCATAAAATTTTACACAACTTTCATATACACTACTTTTTTATAAAATTTTTATTAAAAAAAATTAGAGCTTCAAAGTTGTTTATATTTTGGAGAATTCTGAAAGAGGTTGAATTGCTATTCATCTCCTTTAATAAGGGTGCAGGGTGCGGAAATTAATAGCATCACAGTGTTATATTCGATATATTTTCTCTCATGACTCTTAATTATACATAATAATAATAATAATGTTTATTGCTGTTAACATGCTTAGAATTGTGCATTTACAGAAGTCAAATAAGGAAAACATATTATTTAAATAGCACTTAAATCACAAATTCCGGATTCATGGACACTAAGTAAAATGCTTTCTGTAAAAGGAAAGTCTTTAATTTATATTTCAATGTAACTATGTCTAGGTTTCTTGCTCTACAGACAAAGTAGAAAATTTTGGGTAATGTCAGGGGTAATGTTTAGAAGTAACTTATCTAGAAAACTGTCGGTTTACTTGTTCCATAAATCGTCTTGATCTAGAGTAAAAAAATAAATCAGATTAGCGCAATAATCTGTGCAAAACATCTAATCTTTAAACATTCGGTATTTAGTTGCTATAAACTTTTTGAAAAAAATAGTCAGAACATTTTGTAGATAAAGGTCTAAATTTATGAACTTAGTTCTTTAAAAAAATTTTTTGTGTTTTTATGGCGGGCGCTCTTATAGAAATTTTACATTGGGTGGAGTGGGTACAGAAGAGTGTTGCTTAAAGGTCTCAAACAGCTGGTAATTCCACTATAAACATTAACTTAAAACTGGGTAAATGATGGAGTTGGGGAGTCTGAATCCTTTTGGATTCCTAGTGATTTGAACGAGCTCTTAAATTTTCTCCTTTCGATACCAAAAGCTCCTAAATAGCTCATAAAATGAACACTTTTTTAAAATGATTTTCAATAATAGGATGGCTAGATCCAGTGGGGTAAGCAGCACTATCGGTATCAGTTGCTAGTATAATGGCCCACTATTTGCACTGACTGTACATCCATAACGAAGTGGCGAGTGTTGTAAAAAAGAAATTAACGTGACTTGGATAATTTGCTATTACATTCGATAAATATTAAAAACCTAACTGTGAGCAACATATCACAAATATCTCCATTGATAAGTCAACAATGTGAAAAAATCTGTGATCTATTTACAAACAATATTAATGACTCATTGACTCGTTATATAATAAAAATAACTGTACCGCATGCGAATTATTGATCGTAAATCATCACCAATTATTTTTTAATTAAAACATCGCCCACGGTATGTTTAGCAATATTATAAACGCCGGTCTCGTATCAACCTTGCGTATACACCAACAAAAGTGGTTCGTGACCAGAACCCTGAGGAACCCCAATACAACAAAGCAATAGCCGGTCGTATGGTAAACAAGCAAATAAACGCACGTAATTGACGACGTGTTACATAATTTATATCGACTTGTATCCCATATCAGATAATTTACAAGGACGGAACGTACGAAATTTAGTTTCGATTTAAAGGAGCGGAATTGCTGAATATTCATGCTCAGTTTGAAGGGTGAGGGCCGACATCCGTCAGGACAGAAGTTGATGCTATCTACAACGCGTTTGGAAATTAGCTAAGACGGTCGGTCGTGCGTACGGTGCATAATCCTCGGGAACAATCTAATTAATCGAACCCGATAATTGGGACGTAACGAAATTGAGAGAAGACAATTGTTGCAGGTCAGTCGATTGAATATTATTGCATGTGCGTTTGTGGTGTGTGAAAACCGCTTCTTTTAATTACGCTCTTTCTCGTAGTGTAAATTGTTAACACATTGAATTATATTGTTACTAATTGAATAACGAGCGGGTAAGAGCTACAAGATATATTCAAAGTTCATTGTCAATCAATTTTATAATTTATATTCATAAACAGTAAAACGTGAACAAGCCGTCGGCATTTGTGCTTCTGTTTCTTTTCATTTGAATTATGTAACTTTTTCAATTTGCAGTGCCACTGCCATAACAAACTTTTAACAACTTTTAAGTTCAATCCAAAGTTACTCTTTGACCATTAGTGTTTTTTGTGCATAATGGAGAAATAAACAATATTAGCATGATGGGAGTGCTTTTTGCATTTAGTGCAGGCACAGTTTGTCCGCTTCCCAATCATTTTTTTACACAAGTGGCATTTCTTTGACATTCGAGATGATGAAGTCTGTAGTTTGGTTTTGAGAAATGACTCTCTTTCGAAAAGTTTCTGTTTCAAAAACGTCTTGTTTTTAAGTTTCAAAAAAGCTGCATTGCTGAGTTTTTTGTTTTGTAGTTTCTCGACAAATAAACCATTAGTTAACATATCTCAGAAATATTGATTTTCGCGTTCAAAATTAACCCAAACTATCAAAAAACAAACATTTCTATATAACACAAACAATTTTAATTCAACAAACAAACAAATTATTTTTGTGAAAAATAGTAACAAATCACTTAAAATGATTGTCGATTAAAATGTTTGTTGATAAATTTAATTGGGAGCTGAAGACGCGTGACTTTCGAGTAAATGGTAACCGAAACCATGGACAGGTTTGCATTGCACTAAAAATAAAGTATACTACTACAGGTACTACTACTATGAATAGTAACGACATCGTTTAACAAGATACGAAGAATCGCACACGATTTTCAGTAGGGAAATTTTTTTGTCACCGCTCGTAATCGGAAACGAGACTTTTGATCCGGCTCATAGCACTGATACACGTATAAATCGATCGGCGAAGGTTTGAAATCGCTGTCTCTTTTCGTTTTCGAGTTAGAAGAGGAACAGATGGACAGACGGACAAAACCATCACATAGGGGGAATTTTTTTTCTTTCGAATAATTCCCCAAAAGTGCCCAAATTTCATAATAATGCAACTAATTCATTTACACGGAACAAATGATGCTAAAGTCTGATATGTGTGTTGAACTTTGCGCTTTAAAAGCTTTAACCGCACAATGCAATTATATCACTAAAATAACACAAAGGCTGGCAAAGGCACTTTTTTCGATTACGGTGCTGATTGACATTTCCTATTTCCTTTGATTCAATTTTTATTTAAAACCAAATTAGGGTAGACCGATACAATGGGCCGATTTAATAAACAGAGATCTTTGAATGAAAAACGCGCTTTTATTGTAAGATTACCTTATCAGAACTGCTTGTTTGAGACGCGCTGTTATAAACTACACAAGAACATAAGTTTCAGGGGCGAAGGAACCGGGGGGCGGAGGATGCAGACCTCCCCATATTTTATACTGGGGGAGCAAAGATGGTATTTTGATCCTCCATCATTCAGTTAAATTTTTTTTAATTTATGTGTAAAATTAACATTCTAACTAATTTTTTAATTATTTTTTTAACTCGAACCCGGAGTAAATGTTAATCTGCCAAAACTAATATTTTACAAATACAAAATTTGTACTATTCATAAGGCTGCCAGTACTGAGAATATGCGAAAAAGTGAATTATTTTGAATTAACTGTTGAAAATTATTGGTAATGCTGTTTTGAATTGAATGGAATTATTTCATGAATGTGTATTATTACTTTTTACCGTGAGGACGGTAAATCACTACTTTAAACTCCTCTATCAAAAATTATAGTTCAATAAACATATTTTGTGCTAATTTTCACTGTACATAGTATGAATTTCAATTTGTTTATTTGCCAATTATAATCATGGTCGGTAAATACACATTCGAATTATCCAATATTGTTAATTTCAAATTATTTTGATTTTGACACCGAAAGGCCGATTCGAGATTCGCGGATTCACTCCAGCCATTCGCATGGTCAAAATTATTTTTGGCCCTCCCAAAAAAAATATTTCTTCCTACGCTTCTGATAAGTTTCAACATTGTCCAAGTTGCCATAATAAATTAATATATGATAAAAGTTCTATTTAAAATGTTTGGGCCCAAAATGCATTCATTTTGTTTTTAAGAAATCAACTTAAACCAGACAAATGATGCTTTTGATTGTGCAGTATATTCATCCAAATAGTGAAACAGGACCGGACCAGAATATTCTCCTTGAAATGTTCGTTCCCGTAATATCCGCTCCTGAAATATTCGCCCCATGGAAAACTTTCCCATGGTATCAATTTTTAAAGTACTCAGTGTAAAAACGTATAAAATATCAACCGTCCAAAATCGTTTTAGGGAGACGCACAAGAATACTATGTGATTTAAATTATGTCTGTTATTTAACTATGACAAAGTATAAAAATCTGCACACTGAAAATATCACTAACTCAATGACCCATAGTTATTCAAACCAGATTATGGAAGAGTTCCTTGGTTTCTTTTAATTTGAAAGCTTTATATTTCGTTGTCACTTCATTTTTTTATGTTTGACCACCGACGAAATTATAATCTATACTTACTCAGTACCTCGCTGAGTACCCTAGCAGGGGCAGTACACTAGCTGTTATTGAAAAAAGTACCAAAAATCGCAATTAACGAGCATTTTTAAATACTATGTTACAATGGTAAGAGGTGGTGCATGGGGCGCAAAGAGCCCCTTCGGTAATGTCCGTGGGGTTGGAGGTACCACATGAGGATATTTAAACCATCGACACGCTATCATTTTGTGCTCATTTTGTGCCAATTATTGCCGTATAATGCAAATGTTGTGCTCGAGCCGTAACGAAGATTCCAAATTCTCAGTATGTACCCCCAATTTCACGATGGAGGCACACCTTCGTCAAATTAAAAATGTTGTGCTCAGTTTGTGCCAAGCTTTGCCGTATTATACACATTTTGTGCTCAAGTGTATCGCATGGGTGGCACTCCCTAGATACAGACGTTTTCACGTCGCATCAATAGCCGTCTGTGTAACATAAAACGGTCGGGATGACTGCTGGAACCGCCAACTTTACATGCCCTCCGGAGCGTGATAGTCATGAGATGTTCTGTGTCACTAAAAACTGACAAGCTGTGGGATTCGAACTCATCACTCGTGAGGTTAGAGTCCGAGTCTTAAACCGTTACGCCATATATATTTGCAATTTTAATTTGCACTTCTAACTTTATGTTTTTTTGTTGCCCATGTCGTTTCATAGGAAGAAAACAGTTTAAGTGCGCCGTAAACAGAAATTTTTGCGCTATTATAGTCTTTTAGGATCCCTTTACAGTATACACCGAATTACAGTTTATAGTAATAAATATCAGAAAATAACAAAAGAAATCAGTAAAGGTTGTCCACAAGGATCAGTATTAGGACCTACTTTTTGGAATATTATTTTTAACAATAGTTTTCAAGAGAATGTCAAAGAAATTGCATATGCAGATGATAAAATTTTTATAATTGAAGAAAACTCAAAAAAATTAGAAGATACTGGAAATGAAATAATAAACAAATTTGAAAATTGGTGCACTGAAAATAAATTAACGATATCGCATGAAAAAACTGAAATGATACTTTTTAAAGGAAATTTGGATATTAAAAGACCCCCTACAATAAAAATTTATAATAAACAAATAAAAATGGTTAATAATATAAAATATTTAGGAATAACAATTCAAGAAAAATTAAAACTTAACATGCACATTGACAAAATTTCTAGTAAAATAATACAACTCTTTCAAAAGTATATTTGGACATGTGAAGATAATTGGGGATTAAATAAAAAGACTTTAATTACTATTTATAAGGGTGCATTAGAATTACCTGCGTTTTTATATGGATCTGTGATATGGGGGAATAGAATTAAAAAAATACAAGAAAAAAAATTATAAGTATTCAGTCTTACATTTTAAGAAGAATTTTCAACATGTATGAAAGGACAGCAACAAATTCAGTAACAGTAATTTTAGGAATAATGCCTATTACATTAAAAATAGATTTAAAAATTCAAAATTATAATCTAAGGAAAGATAAAAATATTATTTTGGGAGAAAACGTTATAAATTATAATACATATATAAGAATTAAAACAAAAATTGATTTTGGACATCCATCAAAAGCGCATAAAAATTTAGAAAATTTTGAAAATGAAGAAGGAAAATTAGAAAGAGTTGAAATTTAAAAACAAATTGAAAATTATTATATAAATAAATGGCACGAGGAATCGGAACAATCTGAAAAGGAAGGGAAACATTTCAATACATTCCAAATATCATAAATAGATTAAAATGGAAATTTTGGAGTATTAATAGAGGAATTATACAAATTATTAGAAATAGAGGACTTTTCAATTCATATTCGTATACAATTAAAAAAATTGAAACAAATATGTGTGTGTGTGAAAATGGGATAGAAAGTGCAGAACATTTAATATATGAGTGTGAAGAATTTAATATTGAAAGAGAAGACTTTAAAAATTTATTAGAATCAAAAGGAATTATCACATGGCCTATTAACAAAATTCAATGTTTACAAGCTAAAAACATTAGAAGTATTTTTGGAAGTTATTGCAGCAAAATTCAAAAAAGAAAATTGAGTAAGATTTTAAACAAGACTATTAAATAAATTTTACAGGGACCTCCAAGTGGTTAGGGACGGGCAACGAAGTCTAGGTAACCCTTTTTAGGGTAATAAAAATCTCCTGTAAAATAAAAATAAAAAAGTAATTTAAAAAATTAAGAAAAGACTTATAGATAATAGGGGATATGCTGGAAGGCATGAGTACCTGTAAAATTAACAAAAAAAAAACTGTGATTGCGCTAACTTTAATTCATGTGGCACAATTGATCGCATAACCGAATGTATCAGATGGCATAAATATCATCGAACAAATGGGGACTACGTACACGTACTTGGGTCCTCCGAAATGCATTTTCAGATTTTCCTAAAAAACGAAAATGGGGCAAGAGTTATTATCGGTGGCGCTGGGCGCATAACGAGCACATTAATTTATAATAATACGACTTTCAAATCTGTAAGTGCAGGGGGGGGGGGGGGACAAGTTAACGGACCCAAGGTAAGTTCAGTTTGAACGAAAAATGAACGTTTCGCTCACTTTCGTAAGGAGCTGCATCTGGGCAAAGAAGAAACAAATGTCCTTATGAAACACCTTACCCGAGCCAATGTGCCTATCAATCAGGAAAATCCTGTGAATTTGCCATCCTCAAAAAAGTGATTTAGCTAAAAAAGCGATCTCCTCTGCGGGGGTAGCTCTAGGGCTTTTTCAAGATATAGAGGGAGCGTTCGACAATACCACTCTAGAATCGATTAGCGCTACTATGGAAAGCACAAGGGTTGAATAATAATTGAGTGACTAAAGCGACTAAACGAGTGCGAGATAAAGGTATCGGTCCATGTTCATTTTTAATGTATGCGAGCTGTCAAATTAATGAAAATTCGAGGACCACAGATTAACTAATCCCTTATCGTCCGTCCGAGCAGTGGTCACAATGCTGTTATATACTAAACGTGAGTATCGACACCTGCATACCCTGCTAAATCATAGGAATATCATATCACACCCTCGTTTAATAACGACTCTGTACCGATCCGATTTGTACAAGGATGCCCGCACGGGGGAGTTCTGTCTTATGCGATGTTTGGTGGTAGACTGCTGAGAAGATTGGATCGGGCTACACTCGGGGCTACACCACAGTTGTGTACGCCGATGACGTAATGGTTATGGTACCTGGCAGATTTGAGGGAGGCAGGGAGGTTTGAATCTAGTGGAAATATCGTGCAGAGAAGAAGGCTTGTCTGTTAACCCATCAAAGAAACCCATTCCCTTTCCGTCAAGCGTGCGAAAATTGTTTAACAATCTTTTAAAAACTGCTCAAAAGGCCCCAAATCCTGTGCTCCTTTTTAAAAAAAATATTTTCCCTTAGAATAGGAATTTTCTCGACAATTGCTGGCTGACTGGCTGTCCGGATGAGATCTCAGCAATTACAGCAGCTAGAGGCTTCAAATTTTCACTAAAAGCTTTCTGGTATGGTGTAGATGTGCAAGCTATTTTGAGTTAGATTACTCATGAGATAGATAATTTTAAACTTCGCTAATAAAATACTGATCGGTATTACCAAAAATGCGCTTTCATCATGCATATGCTGATTTACAACTTGTTTTAATTTTTGCTCATGTTTATAATAATAATAATAAACTTTATTGTCTCAATAGGAAAACCTAACCAAGGATAAAATTTAGAAACTAGAAAAAAACGCTATCTATTGCTTTTATTTTCTTTTTTACTTTTTAGCGTAACACAACGGAGTTGAGGTAAAGCTTATGTGCTCGTGTTTCCGTCCGTCCGTCCGCCCGTTCGTCCATCCGTACGTTCGTCCGTCCGTCCGTCCGTTCCATCGAGATCTCGGCCCCTGGGCCACCCAGAGACTTCGGGTTTTCGCTAATTGATAGCTGTTATGGTCTATATTTGCCCAATTCGATCAGTTTCATTTAACTCCATATTTTGCGCAGACTGCGCAATGCCAACTTTCATATTTATGGGGATATTTCTTTGAAATTTTAACCACAGACGCTTCTAGTAAAGGCAAACATTTCGCACATAGTAAAAATAATGTGTGGGCATGCGCAGTGATGTGTGGGCATACTGCGCAATGCCAAATTTCTTATTTATGGAGATATTTCTTTGAAATTTTAACCACAGGTGCTTCTAGTAAAGGCAAACATTTCGCACATAGTAAAAATTATGTGGGCATACGCAGTGACTGCACAGGCTGCTCATAGCCAACTTTCTTATGTATGGCAATATTTCTTTGAAACTTTATTTTACTTATTTAACTCCTCTCTTTCTCTGGACGTGGACGTGCTTCAATATGCAGATTCGACATTTTGTGTGCTTTTGGTGACGATGCGTCGTTTCAATACTTTGTGTTACGCGGCAATACCCATGAGTGGGTTTTGGAACATTTTTTATTTTAATGTCACAGGGCAACATATATTTAATCATTGTAATTTCTAATTAGAATTAATTTAATTTTGACTACAAATTTTTTAATTTGACATTTGTGCTCAGTTTTTGTAACAAAACCTGGCCCAATTTTTATAGGTTATACACAGGAAAATAAGGTCTTTCAAATACCTTAATAAGAATTTTAGGTTTTTTAAAAAGTTTCGATGCCGTTGCGGCGCCCCAAAAATTTTTTTCAAAAATCCGGCCCGTTATTTTTCGTTTCCGTGTTACAAGCAGGCATTCTGGAAGGATAGACAATACCGGGGAGCACAATAGAGCAACCGACTGTGACCACCCCCTACCACAAAAATAAGTAAGCACAAAGTTATGGCATTACGGCATTTTTATTTGAATGAACGTTGTAGATTTGAATGAACATTTTGAATGTCTCAGTTACAGATTGTACAGAAAATTTGTATTATACGGCAAAAAGTGCCACAAAATGAGCACAAATATTATGGCTTTCAGTCTGCCCATTTTGTGTCAAAATCAAAATGCCTTAACACCATCATTGCCTACTAATGTTGTGCCAATTTACATTCAATCTAAATTTCTTAAAATAAAGGGGATTTCATAATGGGAGAAATGTTACTCAAAATTGTCATTCCTTCAAGGAGCGCGAACAAGATGGCAATTGGTTCAATTTAAAACGTAGCGGGTATCGTTAACACTTTTTAAATTACATTGTTCTCTCCCTATGAAATTGCTAATGAACAACATGAGGTTGATACAGATAAAAATGTTAACATCTCCGTTACAGCTTGAGCACAAAATTTGCATTATACGGCAGGGTAACTACCTACTCTTCAGAAAAAGGTCATCTCACTTTCTGTTCAATGCTTGGATAAGTTTTACTTTGCGATAACAGAATTTTATCTTTAGCAGAATGAATAAAGTACTTAATCTACTGGGAGTCTCGCATTCCAACGAGCCCGATCCCGAAACTGGATTGACCCGAAAGGAAAAACATCTAGTAGAACGGTCATGGAACTTAGTCAAAACGAACCTTAAAGCAAACGGAATGGAACTCTTCCTGCTGTAAGCAAACTACCCTGAAGATTACGTCCGCTGAATTTTCAATTTCTAATCCATTACAGACTATTCAAGGAGTGTCCTGAGGCGCAGAATTATTTCCCATTCCGCGACATACCCTTGGACGAATTGCCCAACAACGGCAAATTCAAAGCTCACGCGGTTACGGTCATGTATTCGATTGGATCAATCGTCGATAACCTAAACGAGAACGACGTCTTAATCGGACTTCTTCAGAAGAACGCGGAATCGCACTCAAAAAGAGGAATACCCGAAGAGGCCTACTGGGTAAGTTTTGCCACGCTCGCGCCTCGCTTTTTTAATTGCGCGACTACTTTCAGACGTTGAAGAAGTGCATGATGCAACTGCTCAAAAATAAGCTTGGGCCCGACTTTTCCAAGGAAGTGGAGGAGGCCTGGGACAAGACGTTAACCGTTGCGTTTACGGTTATAATTAAAAATTTTTAAGATTTACGTGATATTTGCGTAAATGACAATCGCACACTCGTTGTTGTAGTCTATAGTTTTTTAAGTCATGTTTATACTTTTAACCTATTTGTTGTCCAAGTACTGTTTACAGTAGTCATATAGATTTTAAATTAATGTTATACCTATACTCGTAATAGAGTAAGTTGGTCTTATTAATTTGTAGGTATCTATGGTAATATACTTGTTAGTCGCAAGATACTTACAAAATGATATAGTCGTTAGTTATAATTTAGTACATTTTAAGATTATGCAGACAGCCACCCTTCATGGGTGATGCAGGATAGTTCTTTGTACCTATACAACTTGATCTGTGCGTGAAATCAGTTGAAGTTAATCTGTATTTATATATGCCATCTCAATTAAGTTTCTTTTGGTTCATCTTATTCTGTCGCCAGTCTTTTGATTTTCAATGTATTTTATTATGTCAATTGAATTACAGCAAACATCAAGAACGAAGGATAGAAACGTTGCTGTTTAACGATGTTCCTTTTGCTAAACTATTAATTGCGGTTTGTGTTTTAGACATATTTTCGACTGATCAGTCGGCTTTATTAATTTTATATAATTGGATTTAGATCTGTACACAAGAAATAAGTAAGTAAATAATATTAATTCCTTATACTGCTTGTTTGGGCTTCAACTCTTCGGGGTTGGTAGTTGATGTGGTTTTCTTATTTTAAACACAAAGATGAACGGATACCTATACCTAATCTGCAAGAATTTATGCCAACTATCCTTGCAATTGTCGGCGCTTTTTTAGTGCAAAGAATTTAAAAATTCACCAATGGCTGATCCACCATCGATTGGAAAGTAGCTGCCCGATGGAACTCTGAGATGGGCGGTCAACACGTTCCGCCCATTTAAGAGTGCAAGACCGGACGAGATATTTCCGATTTTTTGACAGAAGGACCTGGAGCCGCTGTTGCACCTTAAGAGCCTCCTTGGTTTTAGAGTATATCGCCGCGTCGAAAGCTGGAGAAAAGTAAGGGTTGTGTACCTAACTAAGCCGAGTCGTGCCAAATATCACATGGCGATAGATTACAGGCCCATCAGCCTTCTTCTAAAAACGGTAAAGAATGGGGTACTCGGACCACTACATCAATTCCAATATGCTTACAGAACTGCGATAGCAACGGAAACCGCACTTCACAGCCTTGTGTGCAGACTGGAGAAGGGAATATGTCTGCTGGGGGGGGGGGGGGGGGGCACATTCTACAAGAAAATGTTTTTTTCCCGGTCGATCTGAGACAATTTTTTTTTTCGGCCTCAAAAAAAGGCAGTGTATAACCTTCCTTTTTTGCCAAAAATCGACTACACCAAAATTTCTCGGGAAAACACTTTTTCGTATTAATTTTGGTGCGTAGAATCCAAAACGATTCGTACTTTTTCGATTAGATTTCTCAATTAAAAGTTAGGGGTAAAAAACGAAATTCGAGAAAAATTTCAAAGGGCTGTAACTTTTGATCTAGTAGCCCATGTTTGAAATTGTGGATTCTACAGGCCACCTTCTATAAGAAAATGTTTTTTCCCGGTCAATCTGAGACAATTTTTTTTTCCGGCCTCAAAAAAAGGCAGTGCATTAATAACAAATTACACAAAAAAAACAGGGCTCGTCCGGGATTTGAACCCGGGACCTCTCGCACCCAAAGCGAGAATCATACCCCTAGACCAACGAGCCGTTGTGAGTGTTTCGTTGGGATGAGTCATCCTAATTTTTCATTTTCAGATGAAACGCATAAATATCTTAATTAAAACCACAATTTTTTGCGTAAAATAAATACGATTCGTTTTTAAGAGAAACTGGAATTAGTAAAAAATGGAAATTTTTCGGTAAATTTTGGTGCGTAGAATTTCCAAAAAATTTCATTTTTTCATTAGAACATTCAAGTTTTTAACAATACTTTGCTTAAATTCGAGAAAAATAATCATATGCAATTTTGATAAATTTTGGTTACAACCTGTTTATTAAAAATAAATATTAAAAAGTACACTTGGTCTAGGTTATTTCCTAATATAATAATTAATAATAACATTCAATCTGAGACAATTTTTTTAGTTTTAGAAACTGCACCATGTTATATTTTTGAAATCAGAAAAAAAGATCCATACTATTTTTGAAAAACACACAAAGCGTTCCATTAAAAATTCGTATAAATTTTGAGATATTCATTTGTTTTTTTTTACTTTTCTGACTATTTGTGATAATAAACCCAGTAAAGTTTGTACCTACTTGGTTTTTTTTCTCTTAAAATAAAAGCGCTGTCTAGATATACGGTATAACCCTCTACGTGCAGTCTATTGGCGAAAAGTAGATCAATTTTATTCCCAAAAGCAAGGCTAAGAACTTTTTACTTACATTTCTGAGCTAGTCAAACTTTTGATCTTTTTTGAGTTAGGTTAGTTACCCAATGTTCAGTTGAGTGCTTTTATCTGTAGATTTTATTTTGCATTTTATTATTAAATTCACATTAAGTATCTGAAACCGGGAGCAAGAACTGTTATAGCGACGGAGCGCTAGGATACATCTCAAAAAGTCCATGTACCTTGGGTCCTATTTTAGTTGAGACTATAGCTGTTTTGAAAGACCTACGGTTTTCGCGACCCTCTGCCACTTTTTTGTTTGTTTGTGAGATACAGAGTGCTAACGAAAAGTTTGACTTTTGGGATGTAGATTCTTATTATGCAAAGTTAGAAGGGTAAAAAACGATTCTAATATCGACAAAAATCTCTCAAAGGGCTGTATACTTTTTTTTTGCCAAAATCTAATTTTAATAGTAGCCCAATATTTGATCTTGAGAACTGAAATTTGAGAATTGTGGATTCTACGGGCCAAAAAAGAAATTCATGTTCATTCAAGATCTAGTAAGAGAGATTTTTTTTCCCGGTCAATCTGAGACAATTTTCAAATTTTTCCGGCCTCAAAAAATGATTCAGATTCTGTAAAACAGTGCTAATTGAACCCCAATTTCCGACATTTAAGCAGGGAAAGGGGAAAAAAAGTTTCAGGGGCATTATCAGTTTGGTATTTGTGTTAGTCCTACCTAGGAACAGCATAACTGAAGTGATAATTAATTTTGATTAATAATTCTTTAGAATAAGAGAGGTTTTTTCCCCGTCGATCTGAGACAATTTTTTTTTCCGGCGTCAATAAAAGGCAGTGTATAACCTTCCTTTTTTTGCCAAAAATCGACTACACCAAAATTTCTCGGGGAAACACTTTTTCGTATAAATTTTGGTGCGTAGAATCCAAAACGATTCGTACTTTTTCGATTAGACTTCTCAATCAAAAGTTAGGGGTAAAAAACGAAATTCGAGAAAAATTTCAAAGGGCTGTAACTTTTGATCTAGTGGCCCAATCTTGGAACTGTTTGAAATTATGGATTCTACGGGCCACATTCTATAAGAAAATGTTTTTTCCCGGTCGATCTGAGACAATTTTTTTTCCGGACTCAAAAAAGGCAGTGTATAACCTTCCTTTTTTACCAAAAATCGACTACACCAAAATTTCTCGGGAAAACACTTTTTCTTATTAATTTTGGTGTGTAGAATCGAAAACGATTCGTACTTTTTCGATTAGACTTCTCAATCAAAAGTTAGGGGTAAAAAACGAAATTCGAGAAAAATTTCAAAGGGCTGTAACTTTTGATCTAGTAGCCCAATCTTGGAACTGTTTGAAATTGTGGATTCTACGGGCCGGGCCACCTTCTATAAGAAAATGTTTTTTCCCGGTCAATCTGAGACAATTTTTTTTTCCGGCCTCAAAAAATGGCAGTGTATAACCTTCCTTTTTTACCAAAAATCGACTACACCAAAATTTCTCGGGAAAACACTTTTTCGTATTAATTTTGGTGCGTAGAATCCAAAACGATTCGTACTTTTTCGATTAGACTTCTCAATCATAAGTTAGGGGTAAAAAACGAAATTCGAGAAAAATTTCAAAGGGCTGTAACTTTTGATCTAGTAGCCCAATCTTGGAACTGTTTGAAATTATGGATTCTACGGGCCACATTCTAAAAGAAAATTTTTTCCCGGTCGATCTGAGACAATTTTTTTTTACTTACAGTGCACAGAAATTCAAATCAATATGGCTCTTCTCAGAAAAATCCGAGCAATGGATGGGTTAAGTGATATGGTTAACAATCTCATTTGGTCAAATTCGGTTAATTCGGTCTCTTTCCACTCTCATCTACGGAAATAAATTCTTAAACAATCCGCTCTATTTCTGATATGTACCCATTCATCTTTAATTCACCTTCGAGCACATGGAAATGAAACTAGAGGTATTCGGAGGAACGCGATACCATGGGCATTTGGATAGTGGGAAATACGATCCGATAGAAAATTCGGGATTCGCACATAATTACAAAGCAAAGAAAAATACACCCACTACAAATCATTCTCCCTCACGTGAGGTAGTAAATTACTGTAAGTTAAAATTTTTCTAAAGTGATTATTAATATTCGGCACACGGAGATAAAACCCTTAGACAACGTATACAAAGAACGATAAGTATCAATATGGTATACTTTCAGGGCAGACGAATAACTTTTTAGCGCCATCCATAAAAGTGGAAGCAACAAATGAAATAATGGGTTCGCGCTGGAAAACCCCACGCAAGTGCGGGTATAGTGCATTTGTTCCAATGTTCTATAAACTAATGTCAATATAGGTAAACCATAAAATTACAAATTTTCCCTCAGAGCTCTCAAATCAACCTCAAAGACAAATTTTCGATGCCGACTATTTTTTCGTATATAGGTATTTCAGATTAATAAGTTCGCCCATAAGGGCTACAGTTCCTATTTACGAAAATACCCTAAAAAGAAGAGTCGAATTGGGAATTTGTATTACTACCTTCAACGTTCAAACATCTGTTGGTTATCAATATCATAATGTCACCTGATAAATTAAGCCTACATGTACGAGCGGCATGAGTCATTTATTCCGCAGGTGTTGCATCAGATAATTTCACTAATTAACACAATAGCAACGACAGCAAACAAAAATTAGTCGATACATATGTTATCTTTTTGCAAATCGAACATCTGGAATTAGTTCTGAACCTGCACCATTTTGTATACCCACAGCGTAATCTCTGCCATTACAGAATTTTGAACGTTGAAATCTAAATGTTCTATTCCCAATCTCTAATAAATATCACAAGAAATAGGGCAACTTCCAAGCAAATTATATGTTTTTGGACAATCCATTGGGAACAGCCCAAATTAGTCCAAAACTAGAGAAAATATATCAATGGCGCATTTTCAAGTGTGACCGTAAAGAAATCAAAAACATTTTGGGTTTCCTACCTTTGCTGTTACTACTTGAATAGTCAATTCCCATTTTGCACTCACATAAAACACAATTTAGTCTTTTCAAAACGACATAATAATTTCGGCATTACACTAAAACGCGTACGCGACTGAAATGATTGATGGAATTTGAAATGAAAACGTCTTCTTATTAATCCAAACTGATTGCGTATACTTCCCAAATTTGTAAACAGGTGACCGCGGACCTGCGCAGCACCAATTCGTTTTCGAATTTGGTACCGAAGATAACGTTCTGGACTAAATCTGCCGTTCTTGATCGAAATTCATAAAAAATTGTTAGGAGGGAAT